TCAAGATGTAACTCAAACTCAATTTTGCAAAATTTCCAGTACCTTTGTCACAAACTTAACTCACATTATCGGGAGTAGTGTCTTCCATAATGTATAAAGAACAAGGTAGTTTTTGCCTACCACAGTGTCTATATTGGAGACAGTGATCTCCATATGTTACACTAAGGGTGTACATAATTATCGGGAACAGTGTTTCCCATAATTTTCTTCATGCAATGACATCTTCAAAGCTTGAAGATTGTTAGTATCTAACATTAATTCCCAACTTTTTGTAACTCCTTAATTTTAGTTGCAGAAACATTTGTGTCATTAAGCATTTGGTGGGTAAATTCAACTGCTGTACAACAAAATCATTATTTTCAAGATCCTTTTTCCCCCCAATTTAATGTGGGTGTTTTGTTATCTCTGGTTTCTCAAGATTTTCTGTTTATGGAATAGAAGTATACATTTGTAATGTATGCTGGTAATAAATGAATTGAACTATCTCCCTTTATTTGCATGTTATTTCCTAAATGTAGTTCAAGCAGGTTTGAATTGGCTTAAAGTAAGGGAAGTTTGGAAGGTAGAGAGTAGGAAATAAAGGGTGTTGGGAAACAAACAAACAAACAAACAAAACAAAAAAAGTCACTTGTCCAGAAATAGAATTTCTAGAATGGTGGAATTAGGACCTCATCAAATCCTTTCCTCCTAAGACTATATAAACTATATAAACATTTGTTCAAAACAAGCATTTTAGAACACTGGAAATTCACCAAAGGCACAACTAATTGGAAAGTGTTTATTGATGGGAAAACTAAAAAGCATTAGTAAGAATTGACATTTAAACCTGAAACTGCCTTCCATTCTCTGTTCAATGGCATGAAAGCTGTTACCAAGTATTTGAAAAGAGTAACATTACAGCTTCCTGAGACTGCAAAGCTGAATTAATCAACAGTCCAGAGGAAAAAAATCAGTAGAGAGTCGGGCAGTGGTGGTGCACGCCTTTAATCCCAGCACTGGGAGGCAGAGCCAGGCGGATCTCTGTGAGTTTGAGGCCAGCCTGGTCTACAGAGCAAGATCCAGGACAGGCTCCAAGGCTACACAGAGAAACCCTATCTCAAAAAACAAAAACAAAAACAAAAACAAAATCCAGTAGAGAGGAAAAGCAATAATAAGCATTGATAAGTTCCCTTATATCTTAGGGGATGTGGTAGGCTTTGTTTATAATCTTAAAATATTGAAGAGGGCCTGTTAGTGACTCACCTAGTGACAAGTTTCAGGACTTGTCTTAGGGTTACTATTGCTGTGATAAAACAAAATGACCAATGCAACTTGGAGAGGAAAGGGTTTATTTGGCTTACACTTCTACAGCACTGTTCATCATTGAAGGAAGTCAGGACAGGAACTCAAACAGGGTAGGAACCTGGAGGCAGGAGCTGATGCAGAGGCCATGGAGGAGTGCTGCTTACTGGCTTTCTCTCTATGACTTCCTCAGCCTGCTTTCTTATAGAACCAAGGACCACTAGCTAAGGAATAGCACCACCCACCATGGGCTGGGCCCTTGCTCATTGATTGCTAATTGAGAAAATGCCTTACAGCTGGATCTCATCATAGGCTCCTTCATTTTTGTCACCAAAATAATAGAGCTGAGAAAGATTTGTGAAAACAACCAACGTGGAGCTGATATTTCCCATGAGCATTGGGGGTGCTGGCTAGACCATAACCCCACCTCCATTTCTCAAGGTGAGCCATGGTATCCCAACTCCAGCTGCTCAGCATCCCCCAGAATACACTGCTGGTCTAGGGAAGGGTCCCTGGAGTTAGCCTCCTTGGGTCCTCAGCTTAGGAATATAGGGCTTGCTTTGTGGGTGGGTGGCAGAGGTCTCATGTGGTTTGAAGGAAATATACTTCTGAAGAAAAATAAAACTGCAGTTGGGTTTGTTACTGTGGTGTGCTTTCTTATACAGTCCAGGACCATCTGCCCAGGAGTGGCTCCACCCACAGTGAACAGGCCCCTCACTCATCAACCATCAATCAAGAAAATGCAAGACAGGCTTACCCACAGGCATTTTCTCAATTTAGGTTCCCTCTTCCAAAGTGACTCTAGCTTATTTAAAAAAAAAAAAAAACCTACCCAGGACAGGAGGTAAGAGAACAAACTCAAATGAGTGGAAGGGAAAAACAGAATGAAAGGAAATAAGAAGGAAGAAAAGACTACAAAGTTCAAGGAAGTTAGTGGAGGGAAAGAACAGAAAGGAAGTAAAGGATGAGAAGGGAAAGGATGGAGAGTTGGAGGCAGAGAAAAGAAGAGAAGGGAAGAACATTAACAGAAGATGGAGTAAGTGAAGAGAGTGTGGGCAAATGAAAGGGATGGAAAGGAAAGTAGAATGGTTAAGGAAAGAAAGAAAGTGAAGACCCAGGAAAGGGGAGCATTGGAAAGGGGGAAGGAAAGGAGAGCAGTGGAGAGGGGGCAAGAGATGGAGTGGAAAGGGAAGAAAAAGGTATAGAAAGGAGAGTAAAAACAAAAGAGAGGTAAAGAGAGGAAGAGAAGAAAACCAAAGAATTAGAAGTGGAGGTAAGTGAAGAGGGTTAACTGGAATAATGGAAAATAGTATAAATAAAAGAAGTAAATAAATATGAAGGGAAGGCTATAAAAGCAAAGAAAGTAAGTGGATGGGAGGGAAGGGCATCGAAGGGATGAGGGAAGGAAGAAGTGGGAAGAATGTACAGAAAAGAAAAGGAAGACAAGAGAACGAAAAGGATGGGGAGGGAAGACAAAGAAAAGGAGGATGCCAGGGAAAGAGTCAAAGGCCGAGAAAAGAGGGAAAGGAAGTTAGTAGAAGAGAACTTGAAAGTGTCAGTAAATGAAGGGAAGCGACAGAGGGGAGGAGGGTGGAGGGAAGGCAGGGGAAAGAAAGTGCCAGGAAGCCTAGAAAAAAGGCTTTCTCATAAGGTGCACTCCCTCCTCTGTGACCCCTCTAGGCTTCCTCGCACTTTCTTGGCCTTTGACTCTTTCCCTGGCATCCTCCTGATTCTTCCCTTTCCACTCCATCTCTTGCCCCCTCTCCACTGCTCTCCTTTCCTTCCCCCTTTCCAATGCTCCCCTTTCCTTAACCATAGCTTCCAACCCTGCAAGGTTAGCATCCAAGGAAGTGGAAAGGTAGTAAAGGAAATGGAATGAAAGGCAAGAACAGGAATGGAAGAGAAATGTGGGAACCAGAAAAGGTGAAGTGCAAGAAAGGAAATGGGACAGACAAGGAAGGCAAAGGAATAGAGAAAGAGAAGAATGTGGGAGAAAGGGGGAAAGAGGGAAGGAGGGAAGGGAAGGAAAGACAGGGTTGGAAGCTATAGGACAGGACTGGAAGGAAAGAGAGTGAAAGAAAAGGGAAAGTGGAGGACATGAAGAAAGGGAAGAGAAGGGGCAGGAAGCCCATCTTTCAGTGTTCCATGACTTACAGTCTTTGGGTTCTTGGTTTTGTGGGGGTTTTTGTTTTTGTTTGTTTGGTTGGTTGGTTTGGTTTGGTTTGGTTTGGTTTGGTTTGGTTTGGTTTTTTTGAGACAGGGTTTCTCTGTGTAGCAGTCCTGGCTGTCCTGAAACTAGTTCTGTAGACTAGGCTGGCCTTGAATTCACAGAGATCCGCCTGCCTCTGCCTCCTAAATGTTGGGATCAAAGATGTGTGCCACCACTTCCTGATCCAGTTTTGTGTTGTTTTTTAAAATTTGTTTTAATTATTATCACATATGTCCATGGAGGGATCTGAACTCTTGTCCTCTAAGTATGTGCTTTTAACCACTGTGCCATCTCTCCAGCCTCGATTTTCTTTTTCTAAAATCAATTATTTCTTGCCTTTTATATTTTGTATGTGTATGGATATTTGGTCTGCATATGTGTCTGCGCATCACATGTGTGCCTGATGGGTGCTTGCTGAGGCCATCAGAGGTGGTCCAGTCCCCTGGGACCGGAGTTACAGGTTGTTGTTAGATCTGAATGAAAATCCCAAGCAACCCAAAGGACAGGTCCACTAACTAGGTCCAAAATGACAGTCTGCTCAGCGCACACCAGGCTGATTATAGACTTGCTGGCAGATACTTTCTGCATTCCTTGGGAACCTGTGAGTCAGGTTTCTGTCTGTCAGGAAGAGTCACTTCCCTCTGTTCCCTTAGATGAGGCTTCTCGCTCCCTATTGACATGTACCTATGGTGCATATCAAAGCTGGTGCTAGCTAGCCTCTGGTCCCTATTCACACACATTCACACATCTCAAAGACTGCTTCAGCATCCTGGCTCTTCACATCTCCTCCTGTACCCTAATAATCTCCCAGGCAGCTCCAATTCACGGACTTGCCCCACCCCTCGGCTACTCATCCTTCTTATAACCCGAATGATTTTTCCATAACTCCCATCTCTCTATACCACCCCACATACCCTTGGAAGTTTGAGATAAACTTTTCCTTTTCCACTTACAAAGTGGCCATTTTAGTGGTTTCTTTACTGTGGCCCTCACTTAGAGGTGTGAGCCACTATGTGAATGCTGGGGATCGAATCCAGGTCCTGTGGAAGAACAATCAGTCTTTTCAACCCCTGATCAATCTTTCCAGGCCCTGTTTTCCTTTGAGATTCAGTTCTATGTTGTTTCACACTGATCTCCACATCAACCTTTTGCTTAGTGCTCTTAAGTATCCTGACTACATTTGTTTGGAAGGTCATTATATTTTTCATTTCCAAAATTTCCCTTGTTTCTTAAAATTTGTATCTTATGTTTGCTGATGCCTTCTTTGTTGAAACTTTTTATCATTTATTTCAAGTTTGTTCATATTTGCACCCTGGGACAATTTTATAATGTATGTTTCCACATTTAAAAATAATTCTAAGATCCCCCTTGGCGGCCGCGGCTACGCCGGTGCCGGCACGTAAGGTCCTCGCCGGGGCGGCCGGTATCCCTCCGCCGCCGGCCCGGCCCGGCCCTCCCTCCCTCCCCGGCCCGTCAATCCGGGAGCCTCCCGACCTGCCCCTCGGCCTGGGCCCACCCGGCGCTCTGGCGGCCCCACCCCGGCGGCGCCTGCCTGCCCGCCCGCGCGTCTCTTAGTCCACCTGCACCCGGCAGGAAAGCAGCCTTCCCCGGCTCGGCGGCCCGTGAGGCGCTCGGCGAGCCCGGAGCGTGGGGAGGCTCTTCCTCCCTGGCGGAGGGATCCACAGCGGCCGAGGAGGCGGCGCCGAGCCTGCGAGGAAGAGGCAGCTATGGCGGCGGTGGCTGTGGCAGCAGCGCATAAAAGGGCCGCCGTCGGGTGATGCGGTGACCGCTGCGGCAGGGCCCAGAAGCTGAGCGGGCCTCGGCCCTCAGCTCGTCGGATCCGCGCTCCGGAGCTCCCGGTCTTCTCGGGGCCGACTCGCGGCCGCTCGGGTGGTCTCAGCCCCCCCCTCGCCCCTTCCCCGTCCCTCCCTCCCCCGTCCCCGTCCCCGCCCCGGGGGCCCGTCGCCACCGTTCCCCACTATGGCTCTGAAGAGAATCCACAAGGAATTGAATGACCTGGCCCGAGATCCTCCAGCACAGTGTTCAGCAGGTCCTGTTGGAGATGATATGTTTCATTGGCAGGCTACAATAATGGGGCCAAATGACAGCCCCTATCAGGGTGGAGTGTTTTTCTTGACAATTCATTTCCCAACAGATTACCCCTTCAAACCACCTAAGGTTGCATTTACAACAAGAATTTATCATCCAAATATTAACAGCAATGGCAGCATTTGTCTTGATATTCTGCGGTCACAGTGGTCTCCAGCACTAACTATTTCAAAAGTACTTTTGTCCATCTGTTCTCTGTTGTGTGATCTCAATCCAGATGATCCTTTAGTGCCTGAGATTGCTCGGATCTACAAAACAGATAGAGAAAAGTACAACAGAATAGCTCGGGAATGGACTCAGAAGTATGCGATGTAATTAAAGAAATTATTGGGTAACCTCTACAAATAAAGCTAGGGGAACTCTGAAAGAGAAAGTCCTTTTGATTTCCATTTGACTGCTTTCTATGAGCCCACGCCTCATCTTCCCCTGTGCACATGTTTACCTGACACAGCAGTGCTGCGTGTTGTACATACGTGGAACAACAAACTAGAAATACTGTACTTCTGTACCAACATTGCCTCCTAGCAGAGAAGTGTGTGTGTGAGAAGCCAATTCCCCGGGCGTGACCTAGGTGTGAGACTAAAAGCTTTCCTTATTGACCTAAATTTGGATAATGGCAAGATGTGAGGGGTAGTGGGTACACAGTGTGTGCTTGGATAAGAGGAAAAAAACTCCAGTGACCCGTAGGAGATTGTTCTTAAGTGGAATCCATCTAATCTCAAACAGTCAAACAAAGTAGGGTAAAGAAGAAGCTGTTTCTGTGTTCATTTCACCCTGAAGGACCTACAGCTTAGGTAAAGGCTATGACCAAACAGATTAAACTCTGCCTGCGTGCTGTATTTTAAGGTCTAAGTTTAACTGAAGAACATTTCAATGGACTGGAGCTGTTAGTACATAAAGTGTAGTGGGCCTTGTTCCCAACACTTTCACATCGCCCTGCCCTTTCAGCCTTCTTCATTTTAGTCCCTTTCCATAATCTTTGGTTTGTATGTGGTTTCTCAGTTAATACATAGCTAATAGCTCTTATTTTTCTTATGTTTGTAACTGCTTTAGGCCTATTTCGATGTAAGGGTGAAAATTCATTTGATGGAAATACTTGTGTATATTTAAAGACCCAGTTGCTCCTCTGGAGCTTGTACGTAAGAATGATTAATCTGTGTAATAAACTGATTACTACAGTCATTACATATAATTTTGTGTGAATAGGCTTTTTTGATTTAAAAACTTTGTCTAGCTAAGATTAGTGGTGGATTTTTCCTCACCCCCTGAAATGTTTTCATTTATATTTGTTGCATTTCAAAATCATGAAACAATTCCAGTTTACATAGTAAAAAAGATATGAGAGTAATTTTACTAAACAAGATAGAGGCATAAGCTTAAAGGCATTTTCATGAAACTTATATGTGCACCATTCCAGGAACATGACTGTTAAACTAAATAAATTTTCTTTGTTAATGAAACTGAGCAGCATTTCACCAAAACCTTGTGATATTCTCTTGGTACATAGGACACAGAACACAAAAGTGTTGCTGTTTGATAAGTTAAGCCTCTGTGATTGTAATTATAAAAGAAAACCGACCAAACCTGGGAAACATGAGCACAATCTTGTATTGGAGAGTAATTACTTTGCACTAACATTTGCAGGATGTTCATTGGTTTGAAATTGTACTGTATGTGGCTTTTTGAAGTCTTCCCTTGACTCTAGTAAAATGTAGTTTGAAATATGTAAAAGAAAAAAAAGAAAAAAAGAGAAAAAAGAAAAAAAAATTCTAAATAATTTTGGTGTCCACATGTATTTTCCATTTAATTTGGAGTCTTTCTGATTTGTAATAAGATGCAGTGATATTCTTTTTTATTATCATTGCTCTAAAGAACATATAAAATATTGGGTTTTATGGAATTTTCATACATAAATACCATTTTGTTCATGTTACCTCCAAAGCACCTTCCCTCTGCGCTGTCTGGTCCCCTTTCTTCCCTCAAATAGTCCCCCTCCTGCTTTCATGTCACACACACACACACACACACACACACACACACACACACACACACACACACGTTTTTTTAAGATCGTGAAACTTCTAAAGAGGCCATAATAGTCATTGTATATGAAAGATAGGGAGTAGGACTACAAAACAACCAGGCATTAAAAGGACAACCAAAACACAAAACAAAAAAAAATCACCCAAACAAAGACAAGCAAAAATCAGGAATACCATAATCCCAGTATAGGACCATCAGAATCTAGGCATCATCATAGAGACCAGTCACTCTTCTGGTGACTAGAGAGGGTTCAACAGAGTGATGGAGCTGATCAAGCATCAGCAGACATCTCTATGAGGACTCATGAGAGTCAAAAGCATCATGCTGAGGTGGCTAATGTGACATCATTTAAAATGACGAGTTGTTGTTATTGTTTTATTTTGTTTTTACCATGGTGAGGTCTAATAAAGGCTGGAGTTCCTGAGGTTAGTACACTGCTCTAGGGGACAAGTAAACATCAGCATATGCAGAGATAGATGGGTAAAAGGGCTAATAGTGTGATAAAGACTGTTTTATGTGTATGTGTGCAGCATGTGTCTAGGTGAGCATGTGTATGGAGGCCAGAGGTCAACCTCTGATGTCAGTCCTCAATTTTTTTTATTAAGAAACTGTTTTCATTCATTTTACATACCAAAGATCCCCCTCTCCCCTCCTCCTACCCCCTCAGCCTCCCCCTCCCATCCCACCCACCACTCCCCGCCACAAGAAGGCAAGAGCCTCCCATGGGGAGGCACATCCAGTAGAGGCAAGTCCAAGCCCTTCTCCCTGCCTCAAGGCTGCAGCAAGGCATCCCATCATAGGTAGTGGGCTCCAAAAAACCTTCTCACACACCAGGGATGGATTCTGATCCTACTGCCAGAAGGCCCTCCAAGCAGATCAAACTACACAACTGGCTCTCCACGAAGAGGGCCTAGTCCAGTTCCATGCAGGCTCCACAGCCATTGATCCAACTTTCATGAGTTCCCACTAGTTTGGTTTGGTCATCTCTGCAGGTTTTCCCATCATGATCCTGATGCCCTTGCTCATAGAATTTCTCTTCTCTCTCTTTAACTGGACTCCTGGAGCTCAGCCTGGTGCTTGGCTGTAGATCTGTGCATTTGCTTCCATAAGTCATTGGAGAAAAGCTCTGTGATATCAGTCCTCGATTTAAAAAATTTTTAGTGTGTGTGTGTGTGTGTGTGTGTGTGTGTTGCTTGTTAATGAGTGCACCTGTGCCATGGTGCATCTATGGAGCTCAGAGTACAATTTGCATGAGTTGGTTCTCTCCTACCATGTGGGTCTTAGGGACCAAACCCAGCATTAATATTACAAGTACACACCACCATGCTGGTCTTTTATATGAGTGTTAGGGATCAAACTCAGGTCCTCCTCATGCTTTTGAGGCAATCATTTAACCAATGGAGCTATCTCCTCGGTCCTAAGACAAACTACATTTAGTAGTAGCTAATAGCTAACTAGCAAAGAAAGATTAAAGGTTAATGTGGAGTAGGTATACACTGGGCTAAGTTTTCATGAAGATCAAACACTGTACCTATATATAAGTTTAGCAGACATAGCAGAAACACTAATATACAATGGAAGATGTTTCTATTAAGAAACATGAAAGTTGGGCAGTGGTGGCGCTTGCCTTTAATCCCAGTACTTGGGAAGCAGAGGCATACCGATCTCTGAGTTAAGGCCAGCCTGGTCTACCGAGCTAGGTCCAGAACAGACAAGGCTACACAGAGAAACCCTGTCTCAGAGAGAAAGGCGACCTGTCCTCTAGGCAGGATTACAGAGAAACCCTGTCGGGGGGGGGGGGGGGACCGGGAGATGGTGGCACACTCCTTTAATCCCACTTTAATTTCAGCACTCAGGAGGCAGGGGCAACATTGTCTATAGACAGCCAGGGCTACAGAGTAACCCTGTCTCAAAAAACCAAAAAGGAAAGAAGGAAGGAAGGAAGGAAGGAAGGAAGGAAGGAAGGAAGGAAGGAAGGAAGGAAGGAAGGAAGGAAGGAAAGAAGGAAGGAAAAGGAAAAAGAAGGAAGGAAAGAAACATGAGACAGATATTTTAACTAAGAAATATGAGGCAGCTGACATGTTGAGCCTAATAGGCAGTGGTAGGCTGTGAAGTACAGAGCATGCTCAGTGCTAGGGCACTACTACATTTGTAATTGGGCTTGTAAGAGTTAAAGACCCTATAATTCATGATGAGCAAGGTGAGGCTAATGTGGACTCTGCTACTGAGTTAGGCGCTTGTAGAGGTCAAAATCTCTGCTTTGAACGTGGGGTTTGTAAAGCTCAGTTGGGAGAGTGCTATAGCCGAGTGTGCACAAAGGCTTGAGTTTGATCTCCAGAAGCACATGAAAACTGGGTGTGGTGGCACATGCCTGTAATCCCAGCAATTATGGGGTAGAGGCAAGAAGAACAGGAGTTCAAGGTTGTCCTCAGCAAGTTTGAGGCCAGCCTAGGCAACAGGAGACCCTATCTCAAAAAAGAAAGTTGGGGAGCCAGCAACAATATGGCTCATAAGATAAAGGTGCTTGTTGCCAAGCCTGCCAAGCCTGAGTTCAATCCCTGGGAGGGGAGAACAAGCTTGTTGTCCCCAAACATCCCATGTGTGTTGTGGCTTACACTCCCCAACACAGTAAATAAATATAACACATTGTGGGGGGCTTTGGGATGTTGAAAACACCCTACAGTTTCAAGGCATGGTGGCACACACCTGTAATTCCAGAATTTAGGAAGTAAAGGAAGAAGGACCTCAACTATACAGTAAGTTCAGGCCCAGCATGGGCTATATGAAACTAAAAATTAAAAAAAAAAAAGACAGGGCAAAAAAGATGGCTCAGTGGATGAAGATGCTTTACCCTGACAACCTATGCTCAATCCCCAGGACCTAGGTGGCAGATCTGATTCCCCAAAATTGTCCTTTGACCTCCACAAATGTTCTGGCACATGCACATAAGTGCACACTAAATAAATAAACAAATAAATAAATGTAATAATTTAAACACAGAACCCCAACTGTACAGTTTGCTAATGTAGGATCAGCAGCAACCATAATGAAAACTAAAGTGGGTAAGTAGATTCTACTGGGGCCTAAACAAGCCAATGACACTGTCTCTATGGTTAATGGGTAGGGATTTAGGTAACTGGAGAGCAGCATACTTGGAGCCAATGTGCTATACTGAAAGCACAGTGGACAAATAGCAGTGGCATGACATGTAGGGCGCAAACACTGTGGGGCAACTCAACAGGTCAAAAATATGAGACCAGTAGCCAGCCAGAAAAGCTGAAGGTTGCCATGTGGCCCACAGACACCATATTTCTCAATAAAACAAACAAAAATTAAATTGCTCAGGATAGTCACACGGGCAAACAGCATTAAAGCATTTAGTGATATAACTCTGCAGATACTATCATGACTGGTAGCACAAACAATGTAATTATGATTGCCTGGGACCATCCCATCCTGAAGATCCATGAAATTTTAATGATCCTTGGTGTAGGATCCATGTGGCAAGGTCAGTTATAATCAGGAAGAGAGTGACAGATTATAACCAGGGACAAGGAGCGCCTCAAAACATAGGAGAGGACTTGGAATACACTAGCTCAAAATTATAAAACCTGAGGACAAACTTCATGCAGCAACAACCTTCAGTTGTTAGCTAGTATACCTGTAGAATGGAGTAGCAAACACAAGAGCCTTAATGAACATATAGATATAAGGGTCGGGGTGAGGTGAGAAGGGGCATCGATGGAACGAGAAAGAAAGAAAAGGAGCCATGGCTGCCCAGTTAGGAGGCAAGGCAGGAAGTGAGGGGTGGTAGCCTGACCCCCACCCCTTGGGCCCGGGGAGAGGCGAGGATGGACTTACAGACATGGGGCTCCGGAGCAGCAACCACAGCCACCACCGCAGCCAGAGGACTCATCGCTGAGCCCCAGTGCGGCTCCGAGTGAGCCCTATTGCAGCGGGCTGTGCTCTGTTGCAGCTGGCTGTGATGTGAGCAGTCAGAGACAGTCTCCAGAAGAGTTTACAAATGAAAACTAAGGAAATGTCTTTGTCTGGCCTAGATAACAACAAACTAGAGGCTCAGGAGATAATATGCAGACCTGGTTGAGGATTATTGTTTAGGATTCTGCTTTGAGGCACACCAGGTTGTCA